TAACTCCCCTGCCATGTTTATTGGGGTAATTCCTCTATCAGGCTACAAAAACATAATCAAATTGTAGAACCCTAATAATGTCTGCAAATTAATCTCAATTTTACACAACTGCCCATCATTGTACTTGGTCAGTTTTGCGCTGTTGGTCAAATATCCTCTGACGACAAAGTCCCGTTCCCTGAGAACGTCAGGTAAGGGTGGAGCAGAGTTGATTAGAACCTGCTCCCTGGGGGTGCCTGGCTGGCTCAGTCGTTAAGCGTCTGCCTTCAGCTTAGGTCATGGTCTCAGGGTCCTGGGATCGAGCCCCGCATCAGGCTCTCTGCTCAGAGGGGAGCCTGCTTTTTCTTCCTGCTGCTCCCCCTGCTTTGTGCTCGCTCGCTCTCTCTCTCTCTGACAAATAAATAAATAAAAACTAAAAAAAAAGAAAGAAAGAAAGGGAGGAAGGAAGGAAGGAAGAAAAAAGAAAGAAAGAAAGAAAGAAAGGAAGAAAGGAAGGAAGGAAGGAAGGAAGAGAGAGAGAGAGAGAGAAAGAAAGAAAGAAAGAAAGAAAGAAAGAAAGAAAGAAAGAAAGAAAGAAAGAAAGAAAGAAAGAAAAAGAAAGAAAGAAAGAAACTGCTCTCCTTACCCGCCTACGCAGAGTGATGTTCAGACTGGCCACACTGGCATCCCTGGGGAGCTTGGAAAGACCATACCCTGAATCTTTAAAACCAGAATCTGTGCTATAAATTCAGTGTTTGCCCTCAAAATGTATACGTGAGCCCCCTAAGCAGCAATGTGATGGGGTCAGGAGGTGGCGCCTGTAGCAGGTGGTTAGGTCACGAGGCCTCCTGAGTGGGATTAGCACGCCTCACCAGATACCCCGTCTGCTGACTCCGCAGTCGCCACTACCCAGCCAACACAACTGGGAGAAATAACTCTTTGTTGTTTAGAAGCCACCCGGCTTATGGCATTCTTGTTACCTAAACCCAAACAGACCGAGGCACTCTGCATTTTAATAAGATGTCCATATGATCCACGTGCACATTAAGGTTTAAGAAGCACGGCTCTAGACTGATATTTTTTTTAAATCAGGCACTTACCGTTGTTAAATCAGGCACTTTCCAGGTTTGGGATACATTTTCCTTCCACTATACTTCCCACTTGCCCTGCTTGGTCAGTGGTAGGCCCTGCTCATCCCCCAGAAAGATCTCTCCCTGGATTCTAATCACTGGGCAGATTGTCCCCCTGATGCAATAGTACTCTCCCACTTCTGGGGAAGGCTTTGGAGTCAGGGTTTCTGGAACAAGTCTAGAGGGCCCTTGGTTTGGGTCCTAGTTCTGCCACCATCTGTACCGACAAGGTACGTGCGTTGTCATGTTAGCAGTCACAAAACTCATGTGGGGGAGTTTCACCACCCCCAGAAAGCACATGGTGGAGGGGGGGCATTGAAATCAGGGAAACTTCCAAATCCCTTCTTTCCATGCTGTCCCCTGTCACTTAACCACTGTAAACCATTGGCTTTCAGATCAAATTCAACCAGGCGAGTTCAGAACAGCCTTCTACCTCTAATATCTTTGATATACTGAACTCTTATGAACTTCATTGCTAATCAAGAGGAATCCTATAATAATTATTAATAATCAACATCATCTTGGTACTATTAACTAGGTGCCAGAAACAACTAAATTCTTCAGAACTCCTCTGTACTCTGAGTACCCAGGTCATAGTTTTAGCATCATTTTCTTTTTTTTTTTTTTTAAGATTTTATTTATTTGAGAGAGAGAGAGAACAGGAGCAGGGGGAGGGGCAGAGGGAGAGGGAAAGGCGGACTCTCCACTGAGCATGGAGCCCAATGTGGGGTTCGATCCCAGGATCCTGAGATCATGACCTGAGCCAAAGGCAGACACATAACCAACTGAGCCACCCAGGTGCCCCTCTAGCATCATTTATTACAGTTTTTTTTCTTTAAAGATTTTATTTATTTATTTGACAGAGAGAAAGATCACAAGTAGGAAGAGGGGCAGGCAGAAAGAGGGGGAGAAACAGGCTCCCCACTGAGCAGAGAGCCTGATGTGGGGCTTGATCACAGGATCCTGGAATCATGACCTGAGCAGAAGGCAGAGGCTTAACCCACTGAGCCACCCAGGCCCCCAGTTTTTTTTTTTTAAGTAGCTGTTTAGGGGCCCCTGGGTGGCTCAGTGGGTTAAGCCTCTGCCCTTGGTTCAGATAATGATCTCAGGGTCCTGAAATCGAGTCCCGCATCGGGCTCTTTCTGCTCAGCGGGGAGCCTGCTTTCCCCTCTTTCTTTGCCTGCCTCTCTGTCTACTTGTGATCTCTCTCTCTGTCAAATAAATAAATAAAATATTTAAAAAAATAAATAAAGTAGCTGTTTACTTACCTGCTTCTTCCACTTTGAACTGCCTTCTGGGGAGGAATGGAAGTGGTGCTGCATCTCCTTTACACCTGCATGCCCAGAAGCTCGGAGAGCCCTTCACATCTATTTAGTGCTTACCAAGATTTATTGAAGTACGCTAAGCCAGCAGACATCAAAATAGACTAGGAAAACTTCCAGTTGTAGGACTCGATCCTTCTAGTCAATACTGAACATGAATTCATCATTAGATTTATGCCCATATATTTACATCCATAAAATAAAGCCACCATTCTATTGCACGGTGAAGGATTCATCTCACATATAAATACTTCTAAATGGAGAGGGGTCTTTTACTCTACATTTCCCTTGCTGGGTGGAATGGTAGCTGAGAAGGGAAGAGGCATAAATGACAGGAGAACTAAATGACAATATGACAACCATTGATCTGGTAACGAATGATGAACAGTTTCAAAAAAAGAACGTGTAAGTTTTTCATAGGATTACTTTAGGTCAGAGGTTCTCAACCAGGGGCCATTTTGCCCCCCATGGGACATTAGGCAATGTCTGGATACATTTTTGGTTATCAGGCTGGTGGAGGAGTTGTTACTGGCATCTGGTGGGGAGAGCCCAGAGATGCTGCAGACCACCCTGTAGTGCACAGAACAGCCCTTCACAACCAAGAATCCTTCAGCTCCCAAGGTCCGGGGTGCTGAAATTGGGAAATCCTGATTTAGATAGACCTCAAATAGTGCTGGGAATTTAGTACATCTTAATTGGTTGATTGCTCGGCTCAGCCCAGGACCTCTGATACCCTGGGCGTCTCCATGATGAGATAAAGAGAGTTATTGTCTGATAATGATTGTGAGACACCACAAGTCCCAGAGAGGCCCTCCAAATCACAGCCGGGTGTGGATGGTTCAGTGGCCCCTCCTTCCTCTCAGCCTGGGACCCACACGTGTCTTATCTGTTTATGGATATGACCATCATCCATAGCTAGACCATATATTCCTGTTGGCAGAAGACGTATTTTTGACCTCATTGCACCCAGTCTGCCACTGTCTCCCATAGTTCTGTCTTATAATGCCTTGGCACTCAGGGCAGGACAACGATGCTTTATTTTTGAAATCCATTGGTTAACAGTTAAATAGTTGGTCACCTGTAAATATCCTCTGTAGTAAATTGCAACTAACCAGAATGTAGCGTGACCAGAATCGCCCATTCTTCCACCATTTGAGATAAATTAGGAGTCATGGTATTTGACATTGACATTTGTGTTCCTGGGGTCAGGGTTTATGTTGGGTATTTAGGGTTAGAATTAGAGGATCCCTTAAGTTCCCTTTTCTTCCTTGATTCCCTGGCTTGTGAGGGTACTGTCTTTATCTGGGAAATAAGATGGAGACTTCACTGGCATAAGAAAAATAAAGACAAAAACAAAGCTTTTCTGTCTAGGTGGCTCTCTGTGTTTGGGAAGGCATGATGGTCAGTTGACGTGGAAAGGTTGACAGGGTGATCGGCCCTACATAAGTTTGTGACACAGGTAGGCGGTGTGTCTGGCATCCATCTCCTTACTTCCCCCGGCACCCTCCCACCCCCAGAAGTGCCCCCCACCTCGCATTTTTTAGAACCACTGACACCTGCCACCATCTGAAGAGCACTTAACTACTTTGGGGCTGGGTAATACAGTGTCTTGCCCGGGTCAGGGGCTCTTGTGTTTAAAAATCCAGAAAGAATGAATCACTACTAATAGGATTTCAAATATTAGACCATTAGAGGGCAGGATTGATTTGGGGAAGTCCTTCCTCACTGTTCCTTAAATCACACTGTCTTTAGCAAAAGCAGGTAAAATGAGCAATGGAAAGACTTCAAGTCAAAATCCCATCCTCTGAGAAGACAGTAACATTTTTTAAATTCATATTTCACCTTTTGTTACCCACTGGAAAAATGTTCCTTTATTTTCAAATAGAGGAAAGAAGGCAGAGTCCAAAGATGTTTGATCTTGGCAAACCTGCGCCACACTAGGAAGCTTATTAACAGATAAATGCCAATACAAATAATTTTACTGCAGTCAGAGGTTGGTTTTCCCTAGGGCTCTTTAAGGGCAGGACTTTTAGTTCCGGAGCAATTTAGAGTGTGCAGTTTAGAAAGGCCACAGGGTTTCTGATGGTGGCAATGTTTGTGTCTGGCACTAGTCCATTTTCCAATCAGTCCTGATTTAGATAGACCCTCAAATAGTGCTGGGAATTTAGTACATCTTTATTGGTTGATTGCTCAGCTCAGCCCAAGACCTCTAACACCCTGGGCATCTCCATGATGAGATAAAGAGAGTCATTGTCTGATAAAGATCCTGCGGCACCAGGAGTCCCAGAATAGCCTTCTGAATCACAACCAAGTGTGGCTATTCTATCATTACCCCCACGTTATGAGTGAGGAAGGCCAAGGGCACAGCAAGCACATGCCAGAACTGATCTTGAACCCACGTTTTGTGGTTGCAGATGTCTTGGCCTCCTGCTGTGTTAACTCTATCATAACCGGGTGCCTCTGCTGTCCTCAGGGAGCTTTCCCACCGAAGGGCGGGGGGTCGCCGGACACCATGGGAAGAGAAGATGGTTTGCTAACTATGCTAACACAGCTTTTTCTTGCTTTCTAGGTTTTGGAGGTGCCCTGGGTTACCTTTTGGGTGGCATCGACTGGGCTCATCTGGAGACAGGAAGAGCACTGGGCACAGAATTCCAGGTCATGTTCTTCTTCTCCGCTTTGGTGCTCACTCTGTGTTTTATTATTCATCTCTGCAGTATCCCTGAAGCCCCACTTAGAGATGTTACAAGGGACATATCCCCACAGCAAGCCCCCCAGGACTTTGCATTGTCATCAGACAAAAAGTACCAGTATGGGTCTATTGAGAAAGTCAAAAATGGTTCTGTAAACCCAGAACTGGCATTGCAGGGAGACAAAACCAAAAATTCTGCTGGACAGGTAAGAGGCAAATTCTTTTTTTCTTTACTCAGGAAAAATATCCTTGGTCTTACTCCTCCTCCTCCTCCTCCTCCTCCTCTTCCTCCCCTCTTCCTCTTCCTCTCCTCCTCCTCCTCCTTCTTCTTCTTTTTTAACCATTCTTTGTTTTGTTTGCTTATTTGATGTGAAAAGTTTGATGGGAAGTCTAACCAAATCCTCCAGTCCCCTATAGCTCTTATCCCTTTGAATCAAAACTTTAAAAATGTGTGCTTTTTCCTCTGGTCTTCCTCTGACTCTTTTCAGTGTATCAAGGTAAGGAAGATGATGAAGCCAGTTCCAAAATGTTAGACCATGAGAGAAGCCTGGAACCATCTTTAGGCCTCAGGAAATAGCTTGACTTCTTAGATTGGAACTATAAATTTGTCCCTCCAAATGAATGCATCCCTGGGTTGGTAACTGGGTTGGGCATGTTGAATTTGTATTTCATGAGTTGATTAAATATTTCTTTTAGGCCATTTTTGGTGAACTGGTCAGTGAATTAATTAGTTTAAAAATTAAAAAAGAAAACTCTACTAAATTACAGAGAAATGGAACTAGATTAAGGGGAAATTGTCAGAGAGAAGAGGCTAGAACTATGCTGACCAATACATTGGCTTCTTGACCCATAAGGCTATTTAAGTTTAAATTAATTAAAATGGAATAAATTAAAATGTCAGGTCCTTAGTTGTGTTAGCCACATTTCAAATGCTTAAGAACCCCAGTCCAGGACAGTGCAGATATAGGACATTTCCATCACTGTAGAAAGTTCTGTTGGACAACACTGATGTACAGCTGCTTCCTCCTTCAAGCTGAGTTTAATGGCACTACGTCAGCTATATAAGCACAAAGGATGCCCTCACTGGCAAAGAGGTTGTAGAAGACCTAGGTTTAAACTTTGATTCCCCTAGCTGACTGGCGTGTGTTATTCATTCAACAACTACCAGGCACTTGCTGTAAAGAGCTAAAGATTAAGAGGGTATGGGTCACCTCAGTGGCCAGTCAGTTAAGTGTCCAATTCTTGGTTCGGCCTTAGGTCATGATCTCAGGTTGGTGAGATCAAGCCCCTCATTGGCATCAGGCTCTGCACTGAGCATGGCTCCTGCTTAAGAGTCTCTCTCTCCCTCTCCCTCTGCCCCTACCCCCATGCTTGCAGGCACTCTCTAAAAAAAAAAAAAAAAAAAATTTAAATATTAAGAGCATAGGTGTTCAAATCCTGCCTCTACCACTTCCGGAACACATGACCTTGAGTGTTTACATTTCTGTAAAATGAGAAAGTCATTCTATTTACCTACAAGTGTTTTGTGCTGATTCTATGACATAAGCCATGCAAAACTTACTTAGATTGGTTCCTACCACATAGTAAGGTGTTAGCTACAAGTGCCTATTATGAGCCAAGCAGAATTCTGAGCCCCTCACACACCAACACGGAATAGACTTAATCTGTGCTCCAACAGAACTTTCATACAAGCTCAGTGAGTCTCTGTGAGTTCGTCTCTTGATGGGTTGGCCTATTTTCCAGGATTATTGGATAAATCCTGGAAAATAAGGTAAACTAAGATAAAGCATGTAAAGGTGCTTTTTAAGCTTTATATGACTATAAAAACATTATAGTCACTATTTAGTCAACACACTACTTTGGGTACCAAGTATGTACAGAGCATTACTAGGTATTTAGGGATCATAAAATTGACTAATCTGCTCCCTATGCTCAAAGACTTATAGCCCTAACAGGGGGCATAATAAGCCATTTATACCATTACTTACATTCCAAGGTGGAATATAACACTTCCCAAAATGAGGGTGGTGATGCAATTGGAGAACTGGGACTAATTTTTTTTCAATGGCAAGAGGCGGCCTGAATTATTTCAGGATTCTGACTGGATCCCATAAAATTCATCTGCAGTTCCTCCATGCTATCATTGCTTACTTCAACCTTTCAGTGGTCTCCTTTTTTTTTTTTTTTAAAGATTTTATTACTTATTTGACAGACAGAGATTACAAGTAGACAGAGAGGCAGGCAGAGAGAGGAAGGGAAGCAGGTTCTCTGCTGAGCAGAGAGCCCAATGCGGGGCTGGATCCCAGGACCCTGGGATCATGACCTGAGCCGAAAGCAGAGGCTTTAACCCACTGAGCCACCCAGGTGCCCCTCAGTGGTCTCCTTTTGAGTGCACTCTCATGAAGTTCTCCTCCCCGCTCTTGGCTCTGTGCATTTTTCATAAATATATAAATCCACCACCACTCAACCTCCAGTTTATAAAGGTGCAGGATACATGCAGTAGAGCAACTCCCAAGGGCCCTGGGCCATGGAGAGGGCTTCTCCAAGGGAACTGATGAGTCCCAGAATAAGATGCCTTCTGAATGTTCCTTCTGAGTGGAAATACCCAAAGTGTTTGAATATTTAAAATCCCAGCTTTTGCAGAAATACTAGACACAATTTGAAAGCTCATATTTGTTTTTGGATGAAAGGGAAAGTTAGATTAACAATGAAAGTAGGATGAAAATTACGTCTAAGGCAGAAGCATAAATTAGGATTTGGAAAGAGGATGAATACTTGCTGGCCACATTCACTTTTTAGAATTTTGCATTTTTGGAATGAAAAGAAGGAAAGGCATGAAACTTAGGCTATTGCTGCTTAAAAATTTTATTTCTTTACACTCAGCACGAGGCTTAAACCTACAGCCCTGAGAACAAGAGTTGTGTGCTTTACCAACTGTACCAGCCAGGAACCCCTGTTTTTGGTTCTCTACCCTTAGCTTCTTCCTATGGTCAAATAAAAAGTAACAATCCTGCATTGAGTTTCTTTTTCAGTCAACATTTATTTTGACAGTTACTATATTTTACGTTCAAAAAGTTATTTTTCCTAATTCCAAAGGAATGTCTATGCTTTTAAAATACTGACTAGGTATGGTTGTCCCCAGTTATCTGAAGTTTCACTTTCCAAATTTCAGTTGCCTGTGGTCAACCGCCATCTGGAAGCAGATGACCCTTCTGATTTATCATCAGAAGGTCAATAGTGGGGATGCCTGGGTGGCTCAGTGGGTTAAGCCTCTGCCTTTGGCTGAGGTCATGATCTCAGGGTCATGGGATCGAGCCCCACATCAGACTCTCTGCTCAGTGGGGAGCTTGCTTCCCCCCTCTCTCTGCCTGCTGCTCAGCCTTACTGTTGATCTCTCTCTCTCTCTCTCTCTCTGTCAAATAAAAAAAATCTTTAAAAAAAAGGTCAATAATAATAGCCTAATGGTATGTCTCATTTCATCTCATTCCATAAAAGCCTTCTATCATCTCATATCATCACAGGAAGAAGATGAAGAAGAACAGTTGGTACAATACAATGATGTATTTTAGGAGGGAGAGATCACACTCACAACTTTTGTTATAGTATATTGTTGTAATTGTTCTATTTTGCTATTAGTTATTGTTGTTAATCTCTGACTGTGTCTAATTTATAAATTAAACCTTATCGTTAAATGTGTACATACAAAAAAAAACATAGTCTATCTAGGGTTTGATACTATAGGCTGTTTCAGGCATCCAGTGGGGGTCTTGGAAGGTATTCCCCATGGATATGAGTGGGAAAGACTGTGTAAGATCATTTATTTATTTAACCTATAGGCAGACTACGCCAGTAGGTTAAATACTAAAAAATTGACAAATTAAAAAATCAATTTACGTAACAAATCTACAATAAGTAAATGTATTTTTCTACAATAAATATTGAAGGGAAAGGCATTGTTATATAAAGTTAAGAGTTATAAAACAATACGTTGTTATAGTTAAAATAGAAATTCCCAGGAGACCACCTTATAAATAAACTAGCCAGGACTCAATTTCATTATGTCAAGACTCAGAATAAATAAAGATCTGACAAGAAAGACCTAATCCCCCACCATGATTGATGTTTATAGTCTCAGTGTCTTAATATTCCCAACGTTTCTTTCTTCTGTTATAAAACAAGATGCCGAAAGCTCTTTTATTCTTTGTATTTCAAAACAGCTCTGTCAATAGTTCAAGATTTCTCATTTTCTCAAGGTTTTTGAGGCAAAAAAACAAAAACAAAAACAGTGTAGCCTTTGGTTTCAACACAATTTAAGTCTAAATTAAAGAATGTGGATATGTGTATTCATTGTGTGTGTGTGTGTGTGTGTGTGTGTGTGTGTGTGTGTGTATATTTTATATTGTCTTCACCTCTGACTCCATATAAGGATCATTTACATGTGCTGGCTCATGGCAGGAACCAGAAAAGAATAAAATGGAAAGAGGGACCTGAGCAAGAGCAGGGAGCTGCTTGGCTCTTTGTATTAGTTTTCTGTTGCTACCTAGCAGATTACCTAGAAATTTACCTCAAGGAGCTTAAAAGCGTATTTATTATGTCACAGTCCTGTAGGTCGGAGTTCTGGGTGGGCTCAACCGGGTTCTCTGCTTAGGGTATCACAAGGCTGAAATCAAGTTGTGAATGGAAGTGTATTCTCATCTGGAGGCTCAACTGGGGAAGAATCGGCTTCTGAGCTCATTCAAGTAGAACCCAGCTCCTTGGGGTTGTAGGACTGAGGTGCTCCTTTTTTTTTCTGGCTGATGGCCAGGAGTCACTCTCATCTCCTGGAGTTTACTCTAAGGTCCCTTCCATTGGGTCTCTTCCACCTTTAAAGCGAGTAACGCTTGTGCTTTGAAATTCTCTAACTTCCTCTTCTGCTCCCACCTACAGAAAATTCTCTGCTTTTTAAAGGACTCATGTGATCCGGTTAGAGTACCCAGATAATCTCCCTTTTGATTAACTCAAAGTCAAGAAATTAGTAACCTTAATTATATCTGCAAAATCCCTCTTCTATGTAACATGACATAATTATGGGGTAACACCAGGGGACAGAGTTCATGGGGCCATCTTAGAATTCAGTCTAACACACTTTCAGACTCAAGAAATCTAAGAATTATAATCATCCAAGGGCAAGCTTAGATCTGTGAGCTCTGTCCTTATGTAGTGGTTTTGTCATTCAAAGATAGGATGTTAGATATTTGTTCCACCTTGGCCCAAAGCAAGTTCCATTTGCAGTCCCTTTGCCCTTAAGTCTCCAAAGCTTTATTCAGGGCCTGAAAGTGCTCAGTATCCACACATACTTAACAGAACACCTCCTATAAGACCTTTCTATGGAAACCTTGGTGCTGTGCCCAGAAAGTGTGATTCTGTCGGGGTAATCGACTAACAGATGTGAAACACGGCTGTGTGCTCTGGCTCACACAGCTGGCTGCACGTCTGCCCTGAAGTTCACACCAGTTTCATGTTTTATTCCAGTCTAGGAAAGCGATGACCATGAAGTCACTGCTGAGGGCGCTGGTGAACATGCCTCCCCAGTACCACTGCCTTTGCATCAGCCACTTCATTGGATGGACCGCCTTCCTATCTAACATGCTCTTCTTCACAGATTTCATGGGCCAGGTAATAAACATGTCTGTGCAAAGACTCATTGACTTGCACATCACTCCCTTGTTCAGCACCTGTCGACTTTCTTCTTGGCTCACCCCTAGGATGGGCACAGTGAGAGTATAAGAAAGAGTACCTTCAAAGAGCTGTCTTACAGACAGGAGCTGGAGACAATTTACTGCACCCAAGACATATCTATGGGACCAGCACTTGATCAAATACAGCAGACAGGGAAGAATCAGTGTGAGCTGCAGCTGTCGTGGCAGGCTCAACAAAGGAGGTTCAGTATGATCCAGGCCTCGAAAGGTGAATAGGAGCTAGACAGAGAAGAGGGAGAAAACATTCTAAGCAGGAATAGGAATGGCACGTGTGGAGATGAGTCAGAAGCCTGCTGGCTGTACCCGAAGAAGGGTGGCAGGGTTGCCTAAGTCAGGCAGGAGCCAGGTGTTAGGCGGAAGGAAGGGTGTTAATGATCCGGGGAAATGCTGCTTCGACTTGATGGCATTAGGACTTCCTGAAGGTCCTTGAGTAGAAGTGTAAGAGGAAGAGAGGGGTGATATGGTCATGGGAGAGTGAGCTCTGTGTCCTGGGAAGCTGTACAGGGACGGAGAAACAGAGCACATAAAAGGGAGTCCCTACCACAGGGCATTTATATCTCAATGTTCCCAAATCTCTCTTTCAGATTGTGTACCACGGGGATCCCTACAGTGCACACAACTCCACAGAGTTTCTCATCTATGAAAGAGGGGTCGAGGTTGGATGTTGGGGCTTGTGCATCAATGCCGTGTTTTCCTCACTTTATTCTTGTAAGTCTCTTCCTCCTGAAAATATCTTCTAGAGGGCTCTGGTCTAGCAGAATTTTGGATTTTATATTTTTATATTTATTTTCTGCTTTTTAAAATACCAGATCCTTGGGTTCCCTGGGTGGCATAGGCAGTTAGGCATCTGACTCTTGGTTTGGCATAGGTCATAATCTTAGGGTCGTGAGATCAAACCCCATGTCAGTCTCCTTCTTCAGTGTGGGGTCTACTTGGGATTTTCCCTCCTTTTCCCTCTGGCCCTCACACTCACGCTTGCTCTCTCTCTTTCCAATAAATAAATCTATGAAATAAAATAAAATAATAAAATAAAATACCAGATTCTTGATAATTATATGGAGATCAGGAAAAACTCTTCCTTTAAAAAGGACCACAAGATGTATTCTCTTTCCATACTGAAGTCTATGTTACTTTCCTCATTGATTACTTTTTCCTTGGAGTTCATGGGTTCTTGATCAAAGTTCCCTGGAAAATAAAAGGAAATCTTGGAAACCAGATGGCGAACTGTGAGATGCACAAGGGCTAGGGTCCCAGCACTGAGTACTGATTAGCATCTGGTCTGTGTTCTATTGGAGTAAGGTCACTGATGAAGCTTCACATACACACAAATATAGCTTATTAACTCTGTAGATGACAGAACATAGGAGGGATGGTTAATATGCTAGGTGACAGAACGAACATGCAAAATGACCTTAGCTCAGGTGGGGAGGAAGGTATGTCACAGGAGCACTGTTCCAGGACTGAGGATGACAACTTTCTTTCCCAGGTACCAGCTTTCCATGGGGACTGAGTCCATTAACCCCCACTTAGCCACATTTCATTTGTAAAGACACTGCACACAAAGAGATTCCTGTGATTGGTTTTATTTATTTATTTATTTATTTATTGTGTTTTTTAAAAAGATTTTATTTATCTAATTTATTTGAGAGAGAGAGAGAGCATTGGGGAAGGAGCAGAGGAAGAGAGATAAGCAGACTCCAAGCTGAACACAGACCCTGATGCAGAGCTCAACTCCAAGACCCCTCAGATGACCAGAGCTGAAATCAAGAGTCTGTCGCTCAACAGACTGAGCCAGAGGCACCCCTGTGATTGGTTTTAAACAATCCCAAACTAATGTACTATAACCTTAGTCTCATTTGCTGCCTGCCAATGTATATGGACATCTCCAAGATCTGTATGCATTGAATTAAGTGAAATAATCTGGTCTATAAAATGTAATCAGGTCCCCCCTTTGGAATGGAAATTGGGCTTCTAATAATAATGGAAGCTCCTCCTAGATTGTGGGGAGATACCTGGCCCCCAACTTGGAGCTCTAAGCTTTGGGCTGGCCCAAGGGACAGCAGGGTTATGGCTCATGTGGGAGAGGGGTAAGTATTGGAGGGTGATCCCTGTTACCATTTACAGGGGCATTCATTCTGCCATTGAAGTGTGCTTCTTGGGTGGGGGCAAGAGAGGGAATGCTTATAGTGTCTCCTTGTCTGACTTCCAACTAGCCACAGCACAGCAGGAAACCTGCTTCAGGGTCAAAAAATCTCCTCAAAATATAGCACAATTGGGAAAAATGCAATTGGGAAAAACATGTAAGGAATTCATGAGCCCAGTAATCATGAAACAGTAAACTTTATTATTTTAAAATTTATAGTAACAAAATAATAGTGGCTTATAACTTATATTTCCCCTCCCCACTCCTTACCTCCCACTCCCAAGGGGCATGAACGAAGAAAATCACAGGAGGAGGGTTTCAAGTACTTAAAATAGAATCAGAGAGTAATAGACTAAAAGGGTCTCATCATTCCTCTCAGTCCTTTTGTGCTTTCAAGATGTGGAGAGACTATTTACTACCACCTTTGTTCTTGTAAGAGGAGCCCACTTTTCCACAAGTAATACGCATTTTAGTTTTGTGTCAATGCTTTTTTTTTTAAAGATTTTATTTAATTATATGACAGAGCACAAGTAAGCAGAGACAGGCAGACACAGAGAGGGGAAAGCAGGCTCCCTGCTGAGCAGAGAGCCCGATGCAGGGCTCCATCCCAGGACCCTGTGATCATGACCTAAGCCAAAGGCAGAGGCTTATCCTACTGAGCCACCCAGGCGCCCCTGTGTCAATACTTTTTTTCTCAAAGAATCCCTATTAGGGACATTCCTTTAGTCTAGTCTTAGTTCCTGTATGAATTGCATGGCATTTGAAGATTAAAATGCATGTTATTTTGAGGCCCTTTCGAGTTAAAAGCCCTGTGTACAATAAATTGTTATTTGAATAGTTTCCTGAAGTTATATTAATGTATCAATCTATGGGATCCCTTTCACTTGAATTAGAACTAAATTTTATTTATAAATTGCCAGCCAGCCCTTAAGGATCTTCAGGGACTCTCGGTGACCATAAGACAAAGTCGAAGTCCTGAACCTGGTGTTCCAAGATTCTCAGTTTGGGTCCCCGTCACACTTTGACCTCTCGCTCCCCATTCAGATTCACTGCCCCTGAGGACTCATTACACAGACTTTCTCAGCTCTATGTATTTCCTACTGCTTTTGGTTTCTCCTTCTCCAGATGCTCTCTCTAATTCCACATCTAGACAATTGCTAATTGAGCTTTTAGACTCAGGTCCAGTGGACCTTGTCTGTTAAATCTTCCAAGTTCTTTCCCCCTGCACTCCAGCCCACTCTGAGCAAAGTCAATCATGTCCTTCAGTTCAGAGCGCACCCGCTATCTTGGACTCATCACATAACATCAGATGCGGATCTAGAATTTCTATCCAGATGGAGTTTGGCAGGGCAATCTGGCTGCTGAGGTGGAGGGTGAGGGATGGTATTTTCAAGTTCCTTTTGCATAGCGGGCATACTTAGATCCATGAAAATAGCAGTATTAAGTACTGGAATGTAGCCAATTTTTCATATCCAACACTCCTACTCATAGCCGATGCTTAAATACGTCATTTACCTCCAGTTGTAACGAGAGACACACTGTGAGGACATACCATGACTCGGTATTAGACCCAGTGGAAGGCAAGTCAACTTTACGCTTACACTGACTGATTTCTCCTCATGGATAAAAGATTCTTTGCTTGGCTTCCAGTCTTTGTTCTGAAGTTGCTTATATTTCCCAATAGCTCTTTATGCTTCTTTGCCCTCCTCTTGGCTGGGCAACATACTGGATGAGAGCATTTCTCCAGTGAATACTGATGATGTCTTTTAGGTACTGAGACACCTAGATTACATTTTTTGTATAAATATAATCATTAAGCAAACAGAAACTGACCTAGCTCTAGATGGCTTTTTCTCTCCACCTCGACAACAGCCCCCTAGGGATGATATGAACTTAGTAGAGGAAGCAATGGTGCCCACTTGTCAAGCTCTGACTTCCATGGGATGATCTGAAACAGTGTTTAGTTTCATAATTGAATCAAGTGTAATACAGATTAGGTTTCCTGTCTCTGTGATGCAAGTCCAACAGTTATTTGGTTAGATAGGGAAAATTTCATTCTTGAATAGACACACTCCAGGTCTTTGTCAGTCATCCCCTGGTTCATATGTTCCAGTAGGATGGCCAGGAGAAAGATAGGGAGCCTATGGATGAGAAACAGCCACTTAAAACAGAGAGACTGGAGGGTTTTTTAGGGAATTTTCCTACCATGGTGGAACACAGAATGAAACATTTTAAAGCAAAAAATTTTCAATTTTTAGGAATGAACTCTACTACAGTACTTTTAGGAGCAAGCCAAATTTACTTGCTGGGAGGGGAACCTCCTTAAGAGATAACCATATTGCATGCCTGTATTTGTTGAAATAACAATACCCACCATTAATCATTAACCGGAGGGTCTCTGTGTGCTGGGTGCTGGGCTCAGTGATGTTGCAAGCTTTGGATCTCACTTGATCTTGACAACAACCACAAAGAAGGGTTTTACTAGTCCCATTTGTTTGTTCCTTTGTCTTTTTAGGTTTCTTTTGGATGAGGAAGTTGAGGTTTAGACAAGTGAAGGGAATGGACTGATGGGGAGGGAGCCTACAATGGGGTGGCACTGGGTACAGAAAGGGCCCCTTGCCAATGGGTAAGTGTTGGCAAGTCAGGCAACCTGCCTGTCCATAGACAGAGAGCATTCTTTGGCTTCCTTCTTAGGCATGCAGATGACATTCAAATGCGGGGTGCGGTGGGGGGTCCCGGTGGTGGACAGGGAACAAGATAACTTGCATCATTCTTAAAATCTGGTGGTTTCGGTTTCTTCCAACCTGACTTTGGGCCATGAGGCCAAGATAGGCCTGGATTGTTGTTTGTGTCTTATTAGGCCAGACTCTGAATCAGAAGGACCCACTCTCCTCCCACATCTGGCACCCCTGTCACGCCCACAGTCCCATAGCCAAGGTGGCCTTTCCCACCACCTCTTTGCATCCTAGCGCTATTCAGCTGCCTGGTCCTTACTTGTGGAAAAAGAAAATCAACCCCGGGAGGCAATTTCCAGCCTTCTGTGTGCACAGGATTTAAAACTAATTCCAAAAGCCAGCTGTCTTTAAGTACAGATAAGGAGGTTCTTTTGTTCCATATTCAGTATCAAAGGAAAGCTCCTTAGAAAAAAAGTGAATTTGAAAAGAAAAGATTGTCTGAAATTACAAAATATTATGAGGAACTGCTCACCGTAATTTCTTTCTTTCTTCTCCCCACAGACCTTCAGAGACCTTTGGGATCCTACGTAGGGTTAAAGGGTCTTTACTTCCTGGGGTATTTTCTATTTGGCCTGGGGACAGGATTGATTGGACTTTTCCCGAACGTCTACTCCACCCTGACTATGTGTACCTTGTTTGGTGTGATGTCCAGCACTCTGTACACTGTGCCCTTCAGCCTCATTGCCAAGTACCACCGTGAGGAGCAGGACGAGAAGGTATGTCATTGAACCTCACCGGAAGGCCAGGGGGGATTGGGAGGAAAGTGGAGGGCCGAGTTGGAGAATAAGCGTCTTGAAACAGCAACTCTAAAATGCCCAGCCCAATGTAATGATGGTTTGGCCAAAGCATGACCAACTTCCCAGCTCTCACCCTACTCCTTACTTGGAAGCCCTGCGCCCCTGGAGAGCAGCAGAACAGGTACCATTGCCCTCTGTTATCTGATTAGGAAAAGGGGGCTCAGGAATGCTGAGAAACCACCCCACCTCCACAGAGAAGAAGAAAGGGGAACCTGGGGATTCTGACAATTGCCCCAGTGTCCCCTGCAGCTGCAATATTTCTGGGCCCCCCATCCTAATGGCTGCCCTGAAGGACAGTTCATGTAGAGTAAGTGTGTTCCTGCATTTCCCTTGCAGAGAGAGCAGGCCCCAGGATGGAGCTTGGACAGTGATGGGAGAGGGCAGGGCCTGGATTGCGCTGTCCTCACCTGCATGGTACAGCTGGCTCAGATCCTGGTCGGAGGTGGCCTGGGTTTCCTGGTCAACAAGGCTGGGAGCGTCATCGTGGTGATCACAGCCTCTGCAGTGTCGCTGATCGGCTGCTGTTTTGTGGCTCTCTTTGTTAAATACGTGGACTAGGTCAATAAACATTGTCCCTACCCTCAGACACTGGGAAGTGCATGGCAGGAAATCAATCTCTTTCTTTGGCTCTACAGTTTTGGGGGTCTGCCCGTTGGATGCCCTGTGTTATGACTTCAGCATCAGTGGTCTGCCCACACCTCACTTTCTGCCAGCTCTCTGCACAACAGTTTCCAGATTTCAGGCATTATTCATCTTAGAAAAGACTGGGATCGGCCTCCATTCACTGGGGCAAAAGCTGAGTGTGGGAGAGAGCGCCTCCATCTCAGGGTATTTCTGGCCTTGACCAAACTTGAGAAGTAGACTAGTTCTACACACGACAGTTGGGTTTATTCTATCATGTGTTGTGTTTTTTCTAATTAGAGGTCCGTATTTTGTCAGAGGGTCGTATTTTTCGTTAATTCACCAATACTCAAAATATTGCTGATGATTTATTTTATGATATTAATTTATTCATATTTAATTCACTCATACAGACAGATAGTCCCTGACTTAACAATAGTTGGACTTAACAAAAAAAAAATTTTTTTTTTTTAATTTATGATAGTTGGACAGCAATGCACATTCAGTAGAAACCCATACTTCGAATTTTGAATTTTGATCTTTCCTAGGTGATATGCCGTATGACCCTCTCTCTTGATGCCAGGCAGTGGCAGCTACAGCTCCCAGTCAGCCTCACGATCACAAAGGTGAACATCTGGTACATTGACAACCATTCTGTCCCCATAGAGCTACGTTGTTTTTTTTCACTTTCAATACAGTATTCAATAAATTACACGAGATAATCAACCCTCAAAACCAGTCTCTCTTCCAGTCTTCCCTCCTCCGTCTCCTTCACATTAACTATCCTAGAGCTGCAAGGTCATGACTGAGTTAGAGAAATGGTCAGGGACAATCAATCCCTGCTCCCTTCCCCATAGTGTGGGATGATAATGTGCAGATGCCCAGAGGACCCCAAGTGACTTGGTACCCTACATTTATTAAAAGAGACAGCACCAAGCTACCCTTCTTGCTTTACCCACCCATCTTTGACTTCTGTAAGGTTTTAAAATGGAATTATTTGCAGACTTCAATGTTTATTTCCTGATCATTTCTCCAAAGACTGTTCTGGTGATTGAATATTTTGAAATCAATGAATGGGTGAGCTAGGAGGGTGACCTGCCCAGAGGACCCTCTTACCTGGACCCCAAGAAGTTAAGAGTTGTCATCTCTGGCCAAACACAGGATATGATCTTTATTATGAGTGAAGCTCTTTTCAGCTAGAGCACTGGATGGGCTGCTGGCATGAAGAAAGGAGCCAGAGCACCCACCCTGGGGCATCTCATCTACCCACCCCATCCCCCTTTTACATATGCATGCACACTCACTCAAATATTCAAATAAACACTCTGCTCTTTTAACTCAACTCCACTGAGGTTTGAATGGGAGGATAAATTTTAAAAGTCTTTAACCACCTTTGGGAACTCAAGTATTTGTTCTGAGGTTACCAATGACATGTTCTGTCTGGGACAAAAATGTTCTATTCTCAGACAAACAAAACAAATACAGGACATCTAAATTCTGAACAGAAATCCCAGGAAATTCTGTAGAAGAAAAGGAAGCCAAACTGCTTTATTTCCTGCTCCCTCCCCCCATGCAGTTGACAGGCCAATCTCCAACCTTTAATCATTGCTTTTCTTCAGCTTCAAATGTCCTCTCTATGTCCCTGCTGCCCGTCTAAATCGCCATTCCTGCCCATCTAAATTGTACCCATATTTCTAGGTCCATCTCAAGTACTGTTTTGGTGAGGAAGTCTCTGAACCCCAGCAGAGCTAAGTTTTCCATCCCCATGGACGCACTTTATTGTAGCCATTGTTATGACATTCAGCTCTTCGTTCAGTGACTTACTTGCCGTGTGGACATGACTTGTGTCTCCTTCTAGATGTCAAAATCATTAATGTGTCTAGCTTGTATATGTCATCTCAGCAGCCAGTACAGGGCTTGGCACACAACTGGCACTCAAAAACATAAAATAAATGTGGCCATTTCCTAGTTTGTTTATTTATTTATTTATTTATTTATTTATTTATTTATTGTCTTTGTGGTAGATGGAAGTCATAATCTTAGTTTTCTGTCTAAGCCTACAAAAACCCTGGCGGAGCCATCCCTCTACTGGTTGGCCCCAGCCTCTATCAAATGGACGTCCGGATTTGCGAAGAGTGGGGGCGGGGAGGGGAGTGCTGCAGAAAAGTCCCCACCCGCAGACCTGTCTACTCAGACCTTGTCAAGTTGCTCCAGGGCGCAGCTCGCCCGCACCGCGCAGACTGGAGCACGCTGTGTTTCCAGGAGACCCGCTCCGCTCTCCGGGAACCGGGACGTCCCGGCTGCCAGCGCCTGGCGCACTCACTTCCTGCTCGGTCACCAAGTGAGCACGTCAGCTCCCCTTTCCCCATAGAGGCCGTGGCCCTATGAAGTCTCTATTCAGCCCCTCCCACCTCTCTGCACGGGCTTCTTCCCGCAGTGACGCCACTCCCCCGCGAATCTCTAGCGCGCGTTGGAGACAAGTATTTTGCCTCGGTGACACCAAAGCATAGAGTCGCGGTCCGGCTCCCGCGCACCCACCGGCTCTGTCGAGGATGATGAACAATACAATGGCTCCATGGGAGGTACCCCTCTCGCGGTGCCTTTCTCTAGAGGGCGGATCGGGATTGTCAGTACTTTCTGGCGACTCCGAAAAAGTTTCTTATTCCCAAACTGGTCCCCTGCGCAGCCATGCTGCAAGTCAGATGGCGCTGTGGCGGTCTCGCGCGCGAGGCGCAAAGGAAAGGTTTGGTGGGCGGCTCCCCCGGTTGGATGCATTTTGAAGACCCCTTCAAGAGCGTCATAAAAGTCGCTGGAGTAAATGCGCTCAGTTGTCGGCGCATCTCTGGCTGAGCCCCACTTCCTTGTGCCCAATTTCTCTTCATTCCCGATTCCTTTCTCCGCTTCGGGGCGCCCTCACCCAGCCCAGTGTTGAGAGCTTAAGGGGAGGAAGAAGTCTATTTGGGGAGAAGGGGACGCAGGCTAGCGGCTTGTTCTTGTGAGTCTGACCTTTGCCAGCGTCCTCTCTCCACCTGGTTTGAAGCCTTCCCTCTCCGCAGACGGCCTCCCCTCCCCCACCTTTTCACAGGCTGTTCCTTTAGGCTTTTCCCTGTCTTGGTCCCTCCTACCTCTCATCCGATGGGCCCCCAGCATCGCTTAATCCGCTTTCTTCTTTCCCCACCCGGGGAAGGCCAGTTTGCAGTGACTGCGTCCCCGGCCCCCAGTCAGTAGGCGGAACTGCTGGGCAGCAGGTCGTAGCGCCCCCCGCTGTAGACCACCACGCCAGGCGGGTAGGAGACCAGGTCAGGCTCCGCGGTCCGGTGGAGAGGTGCCAGGGCCTGCAGCCCCTGCTCCTCGGGCTCTGGCTTGGTGGTGGCCGTGAAAGGGCGCATGCTGGTCAGAGAAGGGGACGCGATGCGCCACAGTAGACTCTTGAGCGCTTTGCGGAACTCGCGGCGCACCAGGCAGTAGAGGATGGGGTTGAGACAGCTGTTGGAGTGAGCCAGGCACACGCTCACCGGGAACGCGTATACCTGGCATAGGAAATACTCTTGGCTGAAAGGAACGGCGTTGAACTTGATGAGGATGCTCCAGGTGGTGAGAGCCTGGTTGGGCAACCAACACAGGAAGAAGGATAGGACCACGATGGTCACAGATTTGGTGACCTTCGACCGTCTCCGGGCGCTGGCTGCGGCCAGGCCGCCCCAGGCCGCTGAGGCTCCTCCTTCGGTCCCAGCCACACGGCGGTCGGAGATGAAGCGCACCAGCAGAAGATAGCACAGGCTGGTGATGCACAACGGAAGCACGAAGCCTAGGAGCACCTTCTGCAAGTGGTAGAGGCCCAGCCAGAACTGTCTGTCTCCGCCCAGCAACTTGTCTGGGAAGCGCACCAGGCACAGCTCCTCGCCCATCACCTTGATGGTGGTGGAGAAGACCGCGTTGGGCAACGAGGCCAGCGCGGCGGAGGCCCAGATCAATACGCACAGTGCTTTGGCAGAGAAGCAGCCGCTGTCCCCCAGGCTTTGGCCGCAGCATTCGCCCCGGCCATGCCCTCGGGTCCGGTGGCTCTTAAGAGCGGACGCCACCGAGTGGTAGCGCGCCACGCTCATGGAGGTGAGGAAGAAGACGCTGGCGTACATGTTCATGGACGTCACTATGGATACGATCTTACACATGGCCTTGCCGAAGGGCCATTTGAAGTCGAGAGCGTTTTCCACCGCCCAGAAGGGCAGGGTGAGTACGAATTGAAAGTCTGTCAGCGCCAGGTTGGTGACAAAGAGGTTGATGGAGGACTTGCGCCATCCCTGCTTACTCTTCATCAGGTAGAGCACCAGCAGGTTGCCAGTCAGCCCCAACGCGCAAACCACCCAGTACACCGCGCTGATGAGGATCCGCACCCGGGACTCGGTGTCCGCACTTGCTGCCCCGCGGGTGCCCGGGGGATGCCCCGGCGCCGCGCCGTCAGTAAACTCCAGCCCCAGCTCCCACCACAAGTCCTGGAGCTGCAGCGACGACGCGTTGCCGCTGGTGTTGGCCGCCTGTAGAAGGGACGGGATCAGACCGAAGAGTTCTGCGAGCTCCTCTCCGCCAGCCTCCTTATTCATGGTGACTGTCGTGGCTGCGGCGACTGCCTCCAAGCGCAGGTGCCTCTAGGTCATGTTCGGGGAGAGCGGAGGGCAGAAGTGAAGACCAAAGCGAGTCCACCTCGCTGGGGGTTCTGTCCCGGCGAGGGCGCAGGGCGTGCGTGGGAGCTTTCAAAGCCGCATCTGTAGATAGCCCCCGGGAACTGGGTGCCAAAGGCTCTCCCCGCGCGGAGTACACAGCCTTGGGGGCCAGAGTTGTGTTTGGCGTTTGTTCTGGAGGGGAGATCTAGAACGGAGCAGCGCTGCTCCTGAGGCGAGCGGTGGGCATCCAAGGTTCTCTGGCCAAGGTCGGAGTCTCCGGTCCTTGCTGTACAATCCAGACGTTCCCCCCACTGCCCTTTTTTGGGCACTAGCTTATACCCACCCTGCCGCTCCTGACTGCTACAGGGGGCTCCCTCCTTCTCTTTCAAACCTTTGTCGGTTTCTCTGCTGCTGCTTGGACGAGGTTTCTGTCCCTTGAGAGGAAAGAGAGAGATAGGAGAGTTCCGTCTACCTTGCACTGATCCCCTGGAGGTCTTTCGATGTCGACCTCGCTGCCTCGCGCCTTCATCTCTTCGCTGTTGTCAGCTCCCGGTGAGTTGTCAGCGGCCGCCACCCGAGTTATATTTGCACCAGCAAAGCTCGGGCTGCGGGCTCCCATGGAGCATGCGTAACCCCCGCGCGGGCATGAGGGGGGCGCTTTCCGAGGTGCTGAACTTCACCACTCCCGCCTCCGGGAGGAGGAAGAGGAGGGTAGCTGGCAGAGCCCACCAGCTGATTCCCCCTTTCTACTTCAAAGTTTCAGGAGATGGTTGTAACCCTTTATTTTCCCACGTTGCTGGAGAAAGTCGGCTTTGATTTGCGATCCCTTTTTCTTTCTTATTCCCAAACGTAAACAGGTATTAGAAATTTTTTTTTCTCCCGTACTCCCACTTTATCTTTGAAATTATCCCATTCGATGAAAGGGGTTTCTAAAACTTCACGCTCTGTTGCCCATTTCTATTTTTGAAAGCAATGAGTAACCTCTTTTCAAGCCCAGACCTTAAGTCAGATGATGGGCTTTAACATGGAACACAAGCTCCACTTTTCTTTCTACTTGGTGCCTGTGGCTGTTGGGATTTTCAAAGCATCCTTGTATAGCAAAACTCTGGGTTCACGTGTTGCCCTCTGCCTTTGATATATTCTTAGAACTGAGGCTAAGCAGAGAATAAATCATTGGTGAGCCGACTTCATAGACATTAGGTACCACCTGTCCAGCTCTGAGCCCAAAGCTCTTCCACAAATTGTTTATCCACATGACTCTCTTTACCTTGATGAATTGGAATAGAGGATTCCATAAGGCTATTTTTGGACTACCAGCCCCTTACTCTGACAACTGTTATGATCAGAACTCTTTAGCAGGTGTTTTTCAGACCAATGGAAGTAAATGCTAAGGAATCTTCTAAGTTACTTTGGGCAAGGGGAACTGGTGTAAGCCATTTGAATTACTTCTCAGACGCAGTTTGTTTAAATGCCAGTTCAACTGCTCTAGTGTAAATTGCACTTTTTAAGGGTGAACTTAAGAAATTTGAAATGTTTTCTTCACTATCCCCCATGAAACTGAGATTAAAAAAATCTTAAGCATGGCTCTCCTCTCTCCTGCAGAATCCACAACTTTACTTACAGATCTCGAGAGGATGTGACTTTAAAGCAGAGGAGAGATTAACCTACTAGTTAAAAAAGAAATGTGATACCCAAAACATTTGAGGGGAAACCGAAACAGTCTGGCTGGATTCCAAAGCGAGGACCCAGTTCCAAGCCCAGAACACGCTTCACTACAGACTCTGGATTTATCCACTTGTCCGCTAGAGGGCGTCAGGACTCTAGTGAAGGAATGAACTAAAACCAAACCCCCTTTCAAACAGTTCTAATCTAGAGAAGCTCCGCGCTGCTGGGAATATTGCTCCCAATCCACAGGGTGCCTTTGGGGACACCTCTTATCTCTGTATTTTTTACTAGTCTCACCTTCGAGCTCACTTTTGATTTCACGTTTTACCATTCTTTCTCCATCAAATTTTTATCTCTCCTTTCTTTAAAAAAAAGTAAAAAAAAAAAATTTTCAAGGTGCTGTTGAAAAACAAGGAAGACTAGGGCATACCCTGACAGCCCTTTGCCTTGGTTTTCATGTCTGTAAATGGAAGGAATTATAATTTCAAATATTCTGAGGCTTGGTACTGAGCAGGTGAGGTCAGAGTGAGGTAGGCAACTTGCTAAAAATATAAATTACAACTCTCCCCTCAGCCCCACGCTGACCCAGAGACTGATTCTCAGTGGATTTGAAAAGGGCTCAAGACTCTACATTTTAAAAGCCTTCATCCAGATGATACTAATTTTTTCCCAAGTTTGGGAACATCTGGACTTTTATTTCTTTTCTGGTTTTCCATGTAAAAAAAAAATTAAGTTCCCCAAACTTTATCACACACTAGGACTGGAAGCAAAGGAAAAGAAGGTCTTGGCAAGTTTTCCTAAAATCACATTTTAGGGCCCAACCATGACATTTTCTTCATTGTGGGACTTGAGGGGGCATGTGTTCTTGAGGTACACCAGGCCTTGAGGTACACCAGGCCTTGGCTGGTCCCAAGTGCTACTCTCTGAGAATGCTGTCAGATGCTTCTGAGCTTAGAATGTTCTTCATTTTCAAATCTGCTCTCTGAAAATGAACCAGAGATCATGTTCAAGAATTTGTAGTATCACTTAACTCTGCCTTTTTTATGGAAGCAAAAATCCACTTTCAAATATGAAATGAAATTTTCTAATATGAACTAAAGATATTTTAGACCATTTACTTAAAAGCATGAGCCATGCTTCTCTCAAACATCATCTAAAAAATTGAAGGAGAGAAACATTAGTTGTGGTCAAATATCATTTAGGCATATAAGATCATAATCCAAATAATGTAAAATATAACAAACAGGTAAGTAAGAGTTAGGGTGTGAGTTTGGGGGAACCTGTTATCACGTGGATTGTTTGTTCTGGGTAGACTGTAGCAAAATGGAAGAACTTAAGCTCGATCTAAATGAGGAGACAGGAAACTACAGGAGTCAGGTTAGAGAGGAGACACAGAATCGCAATTCTGGGATTCTATAAAGCAAAGTGGATTTTCAGATAAAACCTATTATTTCAACATTCTTTTGGAATATGTGTAGTTACCCCTCACTGTGCATTACTTCTTTTCAGCCTGCAGATATCACAGATTTTTATTTTACCATAATTATGAATTGAGTTCCTAATATGCAAAGCAATGTGTTAGGTGTTTGGATATACAACAAAAACAACAATGGCACAACATGAATGATAATAATAGAAACCGTGATTAACTACTCATACTCCACATTTATTTGGACACTGTATTATTTTTCTAGAGTTGCTGTAACAAATAACAGCAAAACAGGTGGTTTAAAATGACAGAAATATATTATCTCAAAATCCTCAAGATTAGAAGTCAGAAATCAAGGTGTTGGCAGAGTGGGTTCCTTGGAGACTCTGAGAGAGAAAACATTCCTTGCCTAACTTCTGGTGGGTCTATGTTGATTCCTTGGTTTATAACTACATCACTGTCATCTCTGTCTTTGTCTTTAAATGGCATTCTCCTTTCGTTGTATATCTTTGTGTCTGTTTTCTCTCTATAAGAATCCTAGTCATTGAATTAGGGTCTACTCTAATCCATGTGACCTCATCCTAACGAATTATATCTGCAAAGAATGTACATTTACATTTCCAAACAAGGTTACATCCACAGGTACCAGGGACTAGGACTTGAGCACATCCTTTGAGGGGAAGCAATTGTACCCACTGCAGGTAACAACTGTGTGCACTGTGCAAAGGGCTTTATCAGCATTTTCTCACCTAGTACTGAAAACCAGTGAGGTTGGTACTACTATCATCCCAAATCTGATTTCTAGTCTTTAATTCCCAGAGCTGCATATCCAGCTGTTACTTGCCACTTCTACATGGTTGCTGATTTCCTTCAGATTTCTCAGTCTTAGTCAAAGGCATTACTATTCATATAACTGTTTGAACCAAAAGCCCAAGAGTAATTCTTTATCTCTCATTTTCCCTTACACCAATTTAACTCGATCTAGAAGGTCTTGTTGGATGTTCTCAAGAATAAGAACAAAACAACTCCCCCCAAATTCCTGAATCTATCTACTTCTTTCTATTTTTCCATTTCTCTCATTCCATATTCTCTCCATTTCATCTCTTCATGAATAATAATTTATGTTAAAACTTTACGGCTTAAAACAACACATGTCCTCTCACCATTTGTGTAGGTCAGTGTAGCGTCGTTGGCTCCACGTCTATCACGAGGTGGCAGGCAAGCTATCATCTGGGGCTGCGGGTTTATTTAATAGATGTAGTGGTGGTGGTCGGGGGGAGGGTTGCCTTTAAGTTCATTCAAAAAGTTGTTGGCAGTCCTTGATCTTCACTCTGTAGGATTCTCCACACGATTGCTTCATAATATGGCAGCTGGTTTCCAGCAGGGTGAGTGATGACAGAGAGAGAGAAGAGAGAGAGAGAGAGAGGAATTGGCATAAAAGCTATAGTGTTTTATAATCTAGTAAAAGTGACACTCCCACAACTTCTTCCTTATTCTGTTGTTCAGAGGCCAGTCAATAAGTCCAGGGGTACCTGGGTGGCTCAATCAGCATCTGCCTTAGGCTCAGGTCATTATCCCTGGGTTCTAGAAGCATTGGGCTCCCTACTCAGTGGGGAGCCTGCTTCTTCCTCTCCCACTCCCTCCACTTGTGCTCCTTCTCCCTGTCAAATAAATAAATAAAATCTTAAAAAAAAAAAAAGTCCAGCCCTCACTCAAGGAGAGGGGAATTATACAGGAATATGATTACTAGGAGGCATCTTGAAAGCTGACCACCACCATAGGACAGGTTATCACAACACCCACCAGAAAACAGAAGCTGAAGGCCCACATAACTGAGTAGCTATCTCCAGAGCTATGCAGTGCTGGGACAATAAAGACTGACATTCAAGTCTAGTAAAGTGGAGGGGACTAAGTAAACAGTCTAGGCTTTCAGTTCAGACCCCAAAAGAGGCACACCTTAAGGGTAAGTTCTACACTCTATTCTCAACATTCAGAAAATACCCAGTTTCTTCAAATACACATAAAACATTCACCAAGATAGGCTACTTCATGGGACTAAATCAGGTTTCAACAAATTTCGAAGGATTGAAATCATACAGAACGTGTGTATTTTGAGCACGGTGGACTTAAACTAATTCAATAAAAGGATGATTACTGCAAGTCCTCGAATGTTTCAAATGAAGCCACACATTTTAAATAACCCTGATTAAAGAACTAAAATGTAAAATGTTATAAAATATAG